CGTGCGTCACGTGACGATGGGACCAGAGCTCCGTGCGTCACGTGACGATGGGACCAGAACTCCGTGCGTCACATGACGATGGGACCAGAGCTCCGTGCGTCACGTGACGATGGGACCAGAGCTCCGTGCGTCACGTGACGATGGGACCAGAGCTCCGTGCGTCACGTGACGATGGGACCAGAGCTCCGTGCGTCACGTGACGATGGGACCAGAACTCCGTGCGTCACATGACGATGGGACCAGAGCTCCGTGCGTCACGTGACGATGGGACCAGAGCTCCGTGCGTCACGTGACGATGGGACCAGAGCTCCGTGCGTCACGTGACGATGGGACCAGAGCTCCGTGCGTCACGTGACGATGGGACCAGAACTCCGTGCGTCACATGACGATGGGACCAGAGCTCCGTGCGTCACGTGACGATGGGACCAGAGCTCCGTGCGTCACGTGACGATGGGACCAGAGCTCCGTGCGTCACGTGACGATGGGACCAGAGCTCCGTGCGTCACGTGACGATGGGACCAGAACTCCGTGCGTCACATGACGATGGGACCAGAGCTCCGTGCGTCACGTGACGATGGGACCAGAGCTCCGTGCGTCACGTGACGATGGGACCAGAGCTCCGTGCGTCACGTGACGATGGGACCAGAGCTCCGTGCGTCACGTGACGATGGGACCAGAACTCCGTGCGTCACATGACGATGGGACCAGAGCTCCGTGCGTCACGTGACGATGGGACCAGAGCTCCGTGCGTCACGTGACGATGGGACCAGAGCTCCGTGCGTCACGTGACGATGGGACCAGAGCTCCGTGCGTCACGTGACGATGGGACCAGAACTCCGTGCGTCACATGACGATGGGACCAGAGCTCCGTGCGTCACGTGACGATGGGACCAGAGCTCCGTGCGTCACGTGACGATGGGACCAGAGCTCCGTGCGTCACGTGACGATGGGACCAGAGCTCCGTGCGTCACGTGACGATGGGACCAGAACTCCGTGCGTCACATGACGATGGGACCAGAGCTCCGTGCGTCACGTGACGATCCATGTCTGTATATATCCTTCAGATACCCCCGCTGGAAGCTGTACATCCCCATTCGTCTCTTTTCCAGGGCTCTTTATATGGCGGGGGGAGGGGCCTATGACATCACAGCTCCAATCATCATTATTATGGGATGTTCTCTTCTGTTTCTCATCCTTGATTTGGCTGCCACCTTGTGGTGGATTTCCATCATGACATCTCGGGGTCCTCGGGACGGATAGACGTGATTGAGGACTCTATGGGAGGACTCCGCATCCGGGAGGACTCCACGATGAGGAAGATCTGTACTCACTGTAATGTCCATGGACTCCAAGAGAAGAAGATTACGGTGAGGACAAAGTCATGTGTTCTTCACCCTCCATGCTGCCGGGCTGTCCTCAGGAGGTCTGACCTAGGGGTGGACCACCCAATCACCAATAGGACTGAGGACCACCTGGAGCCCAAGAGACACCCTACAGGACTACTACCTGAACCCCACAAAGGCCCAACCCCCTTCCTGGGAGGATAACCCACCAACAGGACCACTGGGAGGACCTGATACCCAACACGGCACAGAGCACCAAGACGCCGATCAATCTGAACCCACCAAGGCCGGGCTACCAAAACTCCAACATGGCAAACAAGGAGCGGGAGGGGGGGGTAAGAACAAGCCCTGTTCCTCTACTCCCCTGACCCCGTACGGGTCAAGAAGCGGGAACTTACCTCAGGCGGTCAGAAGAGCCAATCACTGTGCCGAGGCTCACCCGGGTACATCCCGAATAAAGACCAGAACACGGTGTGAGAAGGACTTCAATGTCCAGCAGGGATTGGGGGAAGGACAACGCAGGCAAGAGAACCATGAACTGCGGAGATGGGTGACAGCGAGGCCCTCACCGGTACCCCTGTGGCCCTAAGCAGAAGTCCGCTGACATAGTCCTGCCCACCTCTGGCTTCAACAGTCCCAGGACTCAGAAGTAGCAGAATCCATGAAAGGAAGGACAGGAGCGCGGGTGGTCCGGTCCCATGCAGTCCTCGGCTCTACCAGCTGCAGGGGACTAGTTCTGCCAACATCAGCCCATGGAGACCCCGGGGGGTTCTCCTCCAACACCGGATGTGGGACGCCCCTTGTGCAAGAACCTCTCCCATGTCCTACAGGGACCAGTTGGGAAGAACCAGGCTGCAGAACTTCTTCCTGAAGGGGACCAGTGTGGGGGAAGGTAGGACTAAGTCCCACTGCACTGTCGATGCCTAGACCACCTCTCCTAATGTAGGGAGCAGTCCCATTCATAATACCCAGATGGTGACCAAACCCAGAGTCCTGACCAAAGAAGCATGCCGCAAGGTAGAAGAAACCACCCCTTCCGGAACTGCAGAATGCTGCCCCGAGGACCATATTCTTCACTAAGAACCCCGGAGATGGTGAGAAGTCCTCTACAAACCTCTCACCGAGAAGAACCCCCCGGAGATGGTGAGAAGTCCTCGACAAACCTCTCACCGAGAAGATCCCCCCGGAGATGGTGAGAAGTCCTCGACAAACCTCTCACCGAGAAGATCCCCCCGGAGATGGTGAGAAGTCCTCGACAAACCTCTCACCGAGAAGAACCCCCCGGAGATGGTGAGAAGTCCTCGACAAACCTCTCACCGAGAAGAACCCCCCGGAGATGGTGAGAAGTCCTCGACAAACCTCTCACCGAGAAGAACCCCCCGGAGATGGTGAGAAGTCCTCGACAAACCTCTCACCGAGAAGAACCCCCCGGAGATGGTGAGAAGTCCTCGACAAACCTCTCACCGAGAAGAACCCCCCGGAGATGGTGAGAAGTCCTCGACAAACCTCTCACCGAGAAGAACCCCCCGGAGATGGTGAGAAGTCCTCGACAAACCTCTCACCGAGAAGAACCCCCCGGAGATGGTGAGAAGTCCTCGACAAACCTCTCACCGAGAAGA